AAGGTGACTTGCAATTTTTGTGAACGAAAAACCACCTCCGCCCAAACCAACAATACGACACCTGTCAACTACTCTTAATTCGCGGTAATTTCCACTTTGGCGTATCTAGGCACGATCACAGCCTCAAAAGAAACGATTAAAAGCGAAAACAATAAGAACTGAACAAAATCTCGCAAAACGTACACGATATAAGAATACTAGAAAAAAATGAAAGAACTGTCAAATAAGCCATTACCACTTGATCCATATGAATGAAATTTTAATCAATTGTTACCTTTTAGTAGTTAAACGTTTCTGCCAAGTTTGGTCAAAAAATTCCAACTCCTTGGTGTTGCAATTTCCATGTCACTGAGTATATCTCATGAAATAAATAGGTATAAGGTTTACTAAATAGGCAACGTGTATCTACAGAGGTTGTAAATCCTAAAAAAGTTGGGTGGGGCGGTCTCCTCGACGGTCTTGAAATTCTTTCATTTATGTCCGTGTCTTTCAAATATGGCACTGCTAGTTTTCTACGACTTTTCAGTGCTGACATCTTGTTCCTCTCGTAACAACGTACAAAAGAACACCGACCTTGATTTTGAAAATCGTGTTAACTTTAAACAGTAGGTAGGTACCTACTGCGATTGTTAATTTATTAATTTCCTGAAACGCAATACGATGAGCCAATGAAACTTAAATAAATCTGGGAATTTGAGACAATCTGTAAGCATAGGTAAATACAATTACCTAACTAGCTTTTTATTCCCACGTTGTATAATTAAGTTTCAAATAATTTGTAATTTAAATTGCTACGTGACGTTTCGGTACCTGAGCAGCGATTATGGTTATAGATAAGTGTAATATTAACACGTTGTGCTCGGACGTTTTCTCGTCGAAATTGACACATAAATATCGATTTTGACATCTACCTGCTGGTTTGGCAACTATCTAGCTCTAGTATAATCAATCAATCTTTGATGATTAATCTATGAAGTGGGAGCATTCACAGTGGTTTTTGGTTTGAGTGTGAGTTTGAGTTGACAATCTTTAATTAAATTTAAAGTTTTTGGTTATTTGATTAACCCAGGGTTTAACCAGACACCATACAGAATAAAAATTCCAATTACACGCCACTGGAACTTTGAACATACATTAGGACTTTAACGCAGTCGCGCTGAGTATCTTTTTGTTGCAGACATCGCACCTAATGTTTTTTGGTCTGTCGCTGAATTCGACCGTAATATTTCGCGGATTCCCGCATAATGCCCTCGGTACTTTAATCGCCACTTTTTCTAAAATTTACAGATTACGTCTTCAAAATGATGCTAATCGTTTGTACAAGAATCAATCGCCTATTCTGCACCACTTCAGTATTCTCACAACCACTACATACATACAATTTGAAGTCTTTACCCAAACTAAAATCCAGGTGGTCGACTTTTTAACCGCTCGACTCAAACGCTATCGTGATTTAACGCCCATCCCCCATCGGCTCTCTACTAACAACTTAATTCCCACTACTTTTTTAGCGCATTTTTTAAGAATTAAAAAAATGGGGAAACACATGTTCTACCCTTCATGGTATTCTAATGAAAGGTCTCATCAAAATAAATTGGTTTGTACAAACTATAACTTTCCCGTGCGACTCTTTCGAAATCAGTGAGCGACGGGGCCTGGAGGGGGGGGTTAAAAATTAGTTTTATCTCTCATTGTATTCTAATTAAAGGTCTCAACGAAAGGAACAGTTTTCTACAAACTACTGCTCTTCTTTTTGTCCTCTTATGAAAGTACGGGGTGGAGAGGGAAGGGGGGATGGAAATAGTTTTATCTTTCATGGTACTCTAATGAAAGGTCTCAACGAAAGGATATAATTTATACTAACCATAACCCTTGTCGTGATCGGTTATAATTCCTTATATCTTAAGAGCGAGTTGTCAAAGGAAAGTACCTACAAAAGGCGATTGGGAAGATTGGAAGAAATATAACAATTGGGCATTTAAATAAAATTTGATACAAAATTTCGTTTTGCGCATGCGCAGTGCCAACTTTCTTATTTGTGGAGGTATTTAAATAAAATTTGATACATATCCACTTGGAATAAAAGCAAATGTAGCGCCATTTTCTAAATTTGGTTTTGCGCATGCGCAGTTCCTACTTTCTTATTTATGGAGGTATTTAAATAAAATTTGATACATAGCCAATTGAAATAAAACCAAATTTAACGCCAGTTTCAAAATTTCGTTTTGCGCATGCGCAGTGCCAACTTTCTTATTTATGGAGGCATTTAAATGAAATTTGATACGTAGCCACTTGGAATAATAGCAAATGTAGCGCCATTTTCCAAATTTTGTTTTGCGCATGTGCAGTGCCAACTTTCTTATTTATCGAGTCATTCAAATGAAATTTGATACATAGCCACTTGGAATAAAAGCAAATGTAGCGCCATTTTCCTAATTTGGTTTTGTGTAGGATGTGCAGGGCCAACATTCTTATATATGGAAGAAATTTCGTAGGGGTGTTTAAAAAAATGCGCTTTACCTGCACCAGGGTTGTGCACAATTTTTACTTGTTTAAATTCGCATCAATTCCGTGGCTCCAACCCTGCCCACCAATTAAAACTAATTTTCTCGTCTAATTCCACGTACACAAAATTCCTGGCAAAATCGTGCTGTAATTTTATCTAATCTCGGCATCTGCCACGACTTCTCGGCGCCTCAAACTTTCATACGCATAGTGTTCAGCAACCACTAACCCGTATACAAAATCGAAAATTTTTTTAGAAAATTTTTGCCACCCCAAAAAAATTAAACTCTAAATTGGAAGAAACTTTCTGTTTGACTTAATTTCGACCATTAAACTAATAAAAAATCTTCTCTCACCCTCGCTCACACACACCTGTTTGTCCTTTTTATTATATCGGATCGTGCCTATTTGAAGAAGAAAAAATGGCATACGCCGCTTCCCTAGATACATAGACAAGAAGTGCTGGACACGGGGGGCATAAACCACTCTAATGTTGCATTGATTGATACCCGAGCGATGTGAAAGACCTATAGCGGAAATCTAAAACCCCGTATAAGTATAGGTATGAAAAAAATTTCTACCCTGAGAATGAGGTCATAAGGTATAATTTAGAGGCGTGATATAGTAACCATTACCTACACACGTGCGTAATGAAAAAAATTAGAATAGATCATGTAGGTACGTTTGGAAGTGATAAATTATCTACAAATGTCAAAACTATAGAAATGGGCTGCATGTGCCAATGTTAAGCGCGGATACTACAGGTGAGCGAGAGGGGAGGACTAAGAGGCAAGCTCTCTCTCTATCGCGCTGGTCGAGAAATGTCGATTATATGCGACCAACAGAAGTGCGATAGTGAGAAAGCTTGCCTCTTAGTTTTCCCCTCTCGCTCACCGGCAGTATCCGCGCTTAGCATTGGCACGCGCACTCCATTTCGATATATGTCGATGGTTTTTGGGTTTTGTCCTTAGACGATACAGTACATGGAATGCTAATTGCGAATAAAATATGGTGAAGGACATCGCCTAGGTCTGTGACGAGGTATGTGAGCTCAGGGTAAACGAGTCTGTTCGAGTTTTCCGATAAGACCCGATTTGTAACTGTCAAAATTAAATTAACAAACACGTCAATTAACTAATCGCCTATTGTCGTCTTATTTGTCGACGTTTAGAAGATATTTAAAGCTTCCCGTACTATTCGGTTGGTTTTTTTAGCGCATTTTTTAAGAATTAAACAAAATGTGCTATTGTTTGTGTTTTGTCCGTCCGTCCGTCCGGACCCACTTCTACCGTTTTGAACTACTTCTAGGGGAATGGTCCTAGAGTCCTGGAATGGTTATCGTGATAGGGTATATTCCCTTATACCTCAAGAACGAATTGTCGGAAGAGGGTTTTATCTGCACAAGAGTTGTGTACAATTGAAGTAATATACTAATTGCGGGTCTGTACGGTTGGCTCATTTATTACCCGTCCTTACACGGGTAAATATACACAAGTACAAAATACATATCATAAAATCTAAGAAAAAAAAATTCGAAATGAAGAAAATACCCTGGCGGAGTCTTTTCATTTCCGATTTGTTTTTAGTGCCCGCGTTTGTAATTAAAAAAGGATTTAAGACTATTGAAAATCGAGATATGCTCAGAATTGTATATCCTAAGAAAACTCAGTGAGTTTTTGTTTGGAAGCACGATATCGGCGACATCAAATCATCAACATGGTCTCGATCACCAACATCTGAAATCCGAATTGGCGAGTATTGAAAAATTTCAAGGACGATAAAGGTGCCGATTTATATATTTTTATTACTTAAGCTTTATTCGAGTTATCAGTGAAAGAAACCGAATTGTCTATGTTTTTAAGGATCATAGTGAAACATTTATTTTAGATTTTGCTTGTTTTAAATTATTTGTTAGGATAAAATTAATTATCTGGCTAGTGAGGATATTTTATTAGTTTAGTTAGGGATGCAGTTTTTCCTTTATGTCATATTTTCTTGTTTTCTTTTTTTAAATCCATAATAAATGTATTTCTCGGAACTTTAAGGTGAGTAATGGTGGAAGAGAAGTATTACTTTTTATGGAGCCCTCGAACGAAGTGAGATTCGTTGGAGGATTTTCTTTTCAAAATATTTCTTGTGTATATCGAAATGCACCAAAAACGTGGAGGCTGCGATTAAACTACAATAGAATAATTAAGCGAGGTTTAGGTACTCTTTTACAGTTTGGAAATCGATTGCCCCTGAACTTCTACAATCTAATTATTGGTAACTCATTTGATCCACATTATAGCGAATCGAGTGGCGATTTCTATTTCTGTAATAGATTACGTAGTTATAGGTAGCGAATAACAAGAACCTAATCCAATTTGTAGTAGGTATAGCAAATTGCTTCCTAAGGATAAGCAGATTATCACACGAAAACACAAACAAACAAAAGCAAAATCGAGTTGCAATGCTGAAAGCACGTGCCGTAAAAGCAAAACGTGATCTCCTACCTCTGCCGGCAAAAATTTACTTCTCCTAAATACATTTTTCACCGAACGAAACTCTCCATCCTGCATTTTTTCATCAATTATAGTCATTGGAAGACTAAAAAAATGTTTGGCACTTATCACTACTGATTTATCACTTTTATCAGTCTTAGTATTAATACTGCTACTATCCGTACAATCGTCCTTACTCTCCTCGTCGAATTTATACTCGATGTCACTAGCTTTAATCAATTTCGGAGATTTCTCACCGTTTGGATCGACATTCTCTTGGTCCCTTTTCGATTTGAACATCCTTCCGGTGCTCTTCAAAATTTTCTTGCACTTGTCTTTGGATGATTTGTACATCTCTTCGATGTGTATGACTGTGCTATCTTTGTCTGGAAACGCACCCACCCTCTGCTTCGCCGCGTGCTCGTTGACCATGTGATCGAATTTGGCTCTCAGATTTATCCACGTTGTGGCTTTCGGTTTACGCAGAAAGCTAACTTTGCGTTTCTTGAATGGCATTTTGCTTCGCACTCTGCAGTAGTCCATAGCGGGTGAACCCCTATCGACCTCGTTACCTTCCGACTTCTTAACTATAATTTGACTGCACGAAATGTGCTCTATACTCGAATGCGCGGACGATATGCAGTCGATCTGCTCGATCTTGTTGAAGTCGTTCAACGAATGGGAATGGCGAATTTTTCTCACGGCCCCGGGAACTTTGTATAATCCGTCGTCTTCGTGTTCTAACTCAAGCTGGCTGTGGGATATATTGGGATCGCTGCCGCTCTTCATTAATCTTTGACTACACGAGCAGTCGTTTAAACTTTTCGTCAGTTCGAAATTAAAGTACTCAGATTTGATGAAAGAGTTCCCCAAGTCGTCCGCACTCTTTGATATGGTAGGCGAGCTGGAATTTTTCGAAAGTTCCGATTCTTGAATTACAATCGTTACCTCGCTAATGTGAGTGTGGTCCTCTTCGTTACTACCTATTTTTGGTTCTATTTTCTGTTTGCGTTCTACGTTCACCACCTAATAAGGGAAACGAATATGTATTAGTTCAATGTAGATTATATCAAACGATTGCCATTACCAGAAAATTTTCTTTCGCAAATAGATTTTTTGCACTTTGATTTTATTGGTCCAAATTGGTTTGTTTGTATTTCTTCAGTTTGCAACGAACAGCAGCAAATTAATTTTGTATCAAGGACGATCTTTCAAATTGGCAATTACTTACAACAGACGAATTGATTAACTCGACTGAAACGATTCTATTCAAGAATGACATACCCTCAATTCTAGAGGTCAGAGTCAATATGATTACGTTTTCCTTCTACACGAAAACTATATTTGCAATAAAATGAAAACATCGAATTGGTTCATTTGAAATACCTAACGTATACTTCAAAGTCTGGCGCTATTACGCAAGGGATGATACCCCGGAGATTTCGAAAAATGGATCAAACGCAATCTAAGGCCCGGTGCACATGAGCTTCAAAGTAATCGAGATTGTGTTCTATCAGTTAGAAAATAGAAATACGTTGAGTAAATGCACAAGACACGCCCATACCTATCGGATACCCTGACCCATTACTCCCAACGTCTTTGTGACTATCTATATGCTGATATAAAAAGCGTCTTCATGGCGCATTAGAGCGGGATCGCAATAATTCTCATTATGTGCTCGTAATTAATTACAGGGTTAAATGTGTGCATTTTGCATCTAAAATACCTACGTCTATTCAGTATATCTTCCGTTGCACGTCATTGCCTGAAGAAAACGACGTACCAACGTAAATTTACTTTCGTTTATTAAGCAACACATTAAGCTTGTAGTTTATTTTGGCCGCAACAATTGGTAGCATTTCGCTATGTTGTCGCGTTTAAATTGGTAAATTTGACAGGTTGCTTTTGGTTTACTTTTCGTTTGATTTGATTTTGATTATTTTCTACGTCTTTCGCTGTGCATTGGTTTGAAGAGTAATTACTGAAGAATTTTGATAACCCGTCAGTAATTGTGTTCGATAACGGGAAAACAGACAACATTAAAGTGTGGTTAGGAGATCATAATGTGCAGTTCTCCGAAAATGATTTTAAAGCCGAACTGTTGAAAAGGTTGCACAGTAAGTACGTTCGCAAATTATTTGGTATTATCTAAATCTTGTTGATACTTTTAGGAATAAATCGGCTAAAATGTACCGCATAACGCATTGACCACTTAGCCGAGCAATACGGTTCCTTCGTTTTACGATTACCACCCTATCATCGCGTTTTTAATCCTATCGAACATATTTGGGGCATAGCGAAAAATTACTACAATCGACACATGGGTAGAGATGGACGAAGCATTGAAAATTGCATAAACATGTGACAAGAAACACTACAACCGATAACTTCCGAAACGTGGCGCAATTCAATTAAGGATACGGAAACTGTAATACACGAGTGGTACGAAAGAGAAAAGCAATTAGATCTTGAAAACGTTGCTACTATTATTATAAACTTTGAACACGAAAGTTCCGATGATTCCGATTAATTTGAATATCATCCATCACATCACATAACCTGTAAAATTTTATATTTAGTACTTTCTCTGTAAAAGAGATGCTACATTTGTACAGTTCATAAGTTATTAAGGTATATTGTATGTATATTGTGGTTCCAATTAACGAAATGAATAATAAAAATTATTTTTATTTTATTTAAGGTGTGGATTGTTCACACAAAGAATGCACTGTCTTGTTGACAAGTGACATAACCTAAATCGTTCAAAACTAGATTTGGCATTATTGCATAGTAATTACGTCACAGGAAATGATGACGTGCAACGGAAGTTATACGGAATAAAGTGTATATTAGGATGACTGAGGATAGTAAGAAGAGGAAAGAAGTGGAAACGGAAACATGGAGGAAGATAGAGATGGGAAATACACATACATGGGAAGGAGAGGGAAGTCGATAAATTAATTACATACAAGTAAACGGAAAAATTTTGAAAGCGATAGAAAATGTTAAGGTAGGAACAAGGGCAGGATCGGATCATCAACCGATGGAAATAACGCTATCAGAGAAGATAAAAGAGCAAGGAATGGGAAGATTCAAAGACGAATGGAGATACAATTAGGGACAATTAATTAATCAATTAATTAGGCGGAGGAATAGAAGAAGACTAGAGGAGGAAGTATATGAAATAGGAGAGAGCACAGAGGAGTGGAAAAATATAAAGAGTATTAAAAAGGCGATAACAGGTGAAAGAAGAAAAGAGATAAAAGCAAGTAGTTGTGAAACTGAGAAACCGATAAAGAACAATGATGGAGAGAGAAAGAAACCAATACATAGAGGAGGTGAGAGAACAGAAGAAATAGTACAAAAGAATATGTAAGGAAAAAAGATGAAGAAACACCATATGAATTAGAAATATCAGGGAAGTAAATACAGAGATGAACTTTTAAAAGATGATAAACAGAGAAAAGGGAAAAACCCATATAGTGCGGGAGAAAACATACAAAAATAAAGGACCTGAACCAGCAGTTTATGAAGGTACTACAAGGTAAGTAGGAAAAACTGTGTGGGATAGAGTATGAGGGAAGAAAGGAGGCGAGATAGAAGAGATGGAGCAACAATTAAAGAGACTGAAGAAAAGGAAGGAGACAGGGAGGGACGAAATAAGAAATGAGGCATGGATTTTTGCTACAGATACTGTTAAGGAGAAGCTGAGGAAACTAATAAACGAGATATGGAAGAATGGGAGGTAATAGTGCAAAAGAGGACACAAACTGTATGGAAAAATGTTTTAAAAAATGCTATCACTGTCATTTTTTTTTATTTTTTTTTTTCTTTCTATATTCGGATAAGTACATTTGCTGGGTTCCATGTTGAATAATTATTTGCCATTATCTGACTTATCACAATAAATTATTAATAGGGTTAAGTGGTAGAACAGAATGTAGTTTGCACTACACATCTAAATTTCGCCCGTTTGGAATAACGTAATAAATTTAGTTTAATATTCACTAGAATTATGTATTGTTTCTTTTGTACGTTATCCAATAAATGACTATTATTATGGTCGGTGTTTCTTGTGAGAACTCAGGTCTAGCCTGGTTAACTAATCGCACGGATTAAAATCAAGTAACGATTGTTGTGTGTCATGTTGTGAGTCTAAAGTGCTGTTTAGGTTTTTGCGTTTGGATTGAATACTAATGGGTCGTGATAATGTGGTTTGTTATTATTATTATGGTCGGTGTTTCTTGTGAGAACTCAGGTATAGCCTGGTTAACTAATCGCACGGATTAAAATCAAGTAACGATTAGTGTCTGTGTCGTCTGTGTCTGGTGAAGTTATGTAGGGTTAAAAATTCACACACTCACATTGGAAAGCTAGAGATAGTATGTAATTCATACTTACCAACATAGCTATTGAGGAAAGAGGAAAACAAAACAAAACAAAAAAAAAACAAAAAAAACTCATTATAATAATTCCTGTAATTTTATTAAATGGAGTTTATTGTGTAAGTGTTTCTTTAGCTTTGCGTTTGGGTTGAATACGAGTGGGTTGTAATAACGTGGTGTGTTTCTGTGAAGAAGGAGTTTTGTGTTTTTTAATTGTATTTATGGTGTTTCTTTGTTCCTGAGGTCGTATTTGTGAGGTTGCTTGGGTTTTTGGTGGAGATATTGCAGTATTTTGTGAGCCTGTGGTGCTGTTAAGGTTTTTGCGCTTCGGTTGTATACGAGTGGGTTGTGATAACGTGGTGTGTTTATGTGAAGAAGGAGTTTTGTGTTTTTTAACTGTGCTAGGACGTGTAACTTTATTGGGTGGACCTGTCTTTGTAGTGCAAGTTGCGTTACTTGTATTTATGGTGTTACTTTGTTCTAGAGGTTGTGTTTGTGTTGTTGCTCGCATTATTGGTGGAGACATTACGGTATTTTGTGAGCCTCTAGTGCTGTTAAGGTTGCTGCGTTTGCGTTGAGTACGAGTGGGTTGTGATAACGAGGTGTGTTTCTGAGAGGAAAGAGTATTGTGTTTTTTAGCTGTGCTAGGCCGTGTAACTTTATTGAGTGAGGGCGTCTTTGTAGTGCATGTTGCGTTACTTGTATTTATTGCGTTTGTTTGTTCAGGAAGTTGTGTTTGTGTGGTTGGTTGAGTTAAGGGTGGAGATATTACAGTATGTTGTGTGTCATGTTGTGAGTCTAAAGTGCTGTTTAGGCTTTTGCGTTTGGGTTGAATACTAATGGGTCGTGATAATGTGGTTTGCTTCAGAGGTGAATCTCTGAATGTAGTATATGTTGTATCATTTGTTGTACTTGTTTGCTCGGTAAGTTGTATTTGTGTGTTTGTTTGGGTTAGAGGTTGAGATATTACAGTATGTTGTGTACCGTGTTGTGAGCGAGTACTGTTGTTTACATGTATACGTTGTGGATCATTTGTGTATGTAGTATCTTGTGTTATGTTTAGAAATTTACGATCAATATGGCATGTGTTGATAATGACTGCTTTTTGTAAATGTTTGTATGTGTTTTTGTCCAAACCTAATAGTTGTAAATTGTGGTGTATTGTCTTTGTTTGGTATAACTCCGGTAGCACTAAGAATAATGGGAACTATAACAGTAGATTTCATTCTCCATTGCGTCTTAAGCTCGATAGCTATATCGGTGTATTTGCGGTGTTTTTCTGCATGTGTTTTAGATAAGTTGTTAGTGTTGGGTATGGCAATGTCTATAATACAAATGGATTTTTGTGTTTTATCTATAAGTGTAATATCTGGTCTATTATTGTGGATAGTTTTGTCTGTGAGTAGTGTCCTGTCCCAATATAATTTGTGTGTGTTGTTTTCAAGTATGATCTGTGGCGTGTATTTGTAATATGGTGTCTTATCTGTTATGAGATTGTGTTTAAGAGCTAATTTTTGATGTATGATTTTAGCTACCTGATCGTGTCGATGTTTGTATTCAGTTTGTGCGAGTCGTGTGCATGCCGATATTATATGTTGGATTGTTTCTGATGTTTGTGAACAGAGTCGGCAAGAATCATTTG